ATCTCTCATCTGACAAAGGTTGCTAACCATATTGTTCTGATGCTTCCTCAGAATATGATAATGTTGTCGTCTCTGGAAAAATTTCAGACCATGACGGTAGAGGGCAACTCTGGGCTCACATAAGCCCCCCTTCAACATGTTAAATAACATTTTGATTGGGCTTCCAAAATGGAAGTTGCAACCCGTAAAAAGCTCTTTTAGCGTGAGCATATAAGTCTCTTGGTCCATATCTGGGAGAAACTTAGAGAGGCTAAATCGCTCCTCCTCACTTAGACATTCATTCCATACATCGACTGACAAAATATCTTCCAAACCCGGAAGATCATACAGCTCGAGAGGAATACTACAAGTCTGATCATCAACGTGACAAAATTCCACCCCAGTCTCTCCCCATTCCAGCGTATCATAATCATCAGACCCTGCCCCAGAATCTGCCTCGTCAAACTCATCGTCATCATCAGACTCCACAGCAGAGGTACGTCTTTGAAGCTCATCCTCATCACTGGATATGCTCTTCTTACTCCCGGGTGAAAACTCATAGTCAAACCTCGAAACCTTAAAATTGTTCTTCTCAATAGCCATGGAATATGAAACTCAAATCAATCCCGAGAGAACACAGTACATAAAACCGAATTAACTCCTCCGACTACCAAATTCCAAGAACTCCGAACGGAAACATAGCCAAGACGACCTAGACCCTACACGCCCCAAAAATACCAAAAACAACAACAACAATGGAAGAATTATAAACATTCACCCTAAAGCAAAACGAAAATCCAACAATTAAAGCACTCAATAGAAAGAAAAAAAAAAACGAATTCACCAAAATCAAAGCAGAAGCAACAAAACGGGGAGAAATAACCAACAGAACAAATACCTCATTCGTGATTAGATCAACTTCTAGATGATACCCAAGGAAGCATAGCGGAAATCGCAAGGCACCAAAACAGAGAAGCCGCGAAGGAAAATACAGAAGAGAAATCGCGAAAACATGGAAAAAGGAAAAAGCAATGGAAACCCTAGCAAGAAGGCGGTTATATATATATATATATAACTGTGGTTAAGGAGACGAAGAGCAGGTCGAAAAGGATTGAAGAAGACGAAGATGACGTGGACGGAGATGGAACGTCGGATTGGGAAGAAGAAGAAGATGAGTGGAAAAGACGAAAAGGGACAGAAGAAAGGGGAAAAGAGAAAGTAATTGGCTCAGACGAAGTTGGGAAGAAAGATAGACAGAAAAAAAAAAAAAAAAAAAAAAAAAAAAAAAAAAAAAAAAAAAAAAAAAAAAAAAAAAAAAAAAAAAAAAAAAAAAAAAAAAAAAAAAAAAAAAAAGCATAGTGCTCAGCCAGAGACGAGACGAACCAGACCAGACCAGTGAGTCAACTCGGGCACGGGCGGGCAGGCCACCTTCGGACTCTCCCCCATCTCTAAAATATATAATTAAAATTCAATTTTATTTCCAATAAATTAATTATCAATTTATTTCTTAAAAAACAATATTTCACTAACCTCTTAAATATAAAATTAAAAATTAAAATTTATAAAGAGTTTAAAAATTAAAATTGTAATTTAACAAAATATTGCATTAATATATTTCAAGTTTTCATAAATCAAAAAATTAACAAGAACTAAATTAAATTTTATTGAAAGTGAATGGTCTAAATAATATTTAAAATGAAATGAAAATAATTTTCGTAATTTTTAAGGAGAGAGTCTGGGGCTTCCGAAAGCCGCACCCAAACAGGAGAATGGTCTTCAACTATTTGGTAAAACATAATGGGCTAAAAGCCCAATGGGCCAATTGGCTCGTAAGTTCAATAATTGTCAGTGGGCTTTCAAAAGCCCAACTTTCCAACTGGGCTCAGTAAGGTTCGAAATGGCCCTAGAGTCGATTGGACCAAGACATTCGGTTTGTAAGCAATTTAAAAAAGGGTAACAATTTAGTTTTTATATTTTAAAATTTTAAATTTTATATGTAACCCCCCTCATTTAATTTTTTTTGTTCACCTAATTGATTTTTGCTAATAAAATAAGTTTCAACTGCGTTCAAATTGTCAAAAATTAATAATGTTTTCACATGTTTTATAATAAATAATTAAATTATGTATACCGATTAAAAAATGGAGAAAAAATAATAATAAATGATGAGACAAAAATAAGGGATAAAAAAAAATCATTACAACCATAGAAAAAAAAACAAATAAATTAACATCCAACAAGATGATTGCAAATAATTTCCCACTGTCACCTCTCATTTCCATGACCCAAATGGGCCCAACTTTGAAAATCATGTTATTTTTATGTTTTTAGGTAAGAAGTCACTGTAGATTTAAATTAATTAATTTAATTATGATTATTTTCACCTACCCAATTGACAATATAGCCAATTAAATCCACGATGGCTAAATATTTATTATATATATATATATATATATATATATATATATAAGTATTCACTCTAAATTTGGTACAAATATAAACAACACGTCTTTATATTCCCTAAATAAATAAACATAAAAATATTTATTACAGATAAATCTAAAAAATTCTGAAATAGAACGTGCTCCACAGCTCACCCGTGACCGTGCCAAAAGCAATTACTTCCTAATTTTATTTTATTTTATTTTAATAATTAAAGTTGGGTGGGTAATCACCAATTTATTTTAAAATAATTTGATGTGTTTATCATTCTCCCACTAAATACAAACAAAAAAATAATTAAATTAAATTATTTTCAATTGAGGATAAGTTTGAATTATTATTTTCAATTAAATTATTGCAAAAGCAAAAATAATAATAATTAATTTTTCTTCCTGGCTTAGTAAGTTCATACGAGACCTTATGGGTTTAATTTTGAGAGAATATTTTAATTATTAGTTATCTTATTTAAAGTAAATATTAAAATTTTAAGTTTATATGTTAATAATTATAGTAATTATGAAATTGTTTCCTTAAAATTGATGTTAGTGTAAATATTTTAATTTTTTTTTTCTAATTTAATTTATTAAATATAACCCAATAGTTTTTTACAATTAAATAAAAAAAAAGCTTGATGTAAGCGGCCAAGTAAAAAAATTAGGTTAACTACTGAAGTTGAATAAAAATTTATATTAATTAATTTATGAACCTACGTTATTAAAAAATTATATTATTATTATTTAATAAAGTTATATAATACATATTTTAAATTTATAGTCTAAAATAAAATAAAAATTATCTTTATTTATCAACAAATTGATGTATAGTCTTTAAATAATTGATTAGGTATAAATTCGTTAAATTACAATTTAATCCCTATAATTTGAATGAAGTTAAAATTCTGTCTGCATGCAAAAGAAAAAAAAATATATAATTAACCTAATAATTGTTGTTTTTTATTATTTTATAAAATCACGAGGATTATTTATAAAATTTAAAAATTAAGATTAAAGTTATATAAACTAAGTTACAAGTTTATTTAAATTATATAAATTAAATTTATAATTTAATGATAGATCTTACAATAACAAATAACACGTTCAGCAAACTTTATGAAAGATTGTCACATCAATACGCAAATAGTATAAATATTAAACAAAGAGGTTTTGTCGTTGAATCAAGGCTTCAAATTTTAAATCGAAATATTTTTAAATTTAAGAAATTAAATGAATTTTTTTAATAGAACGAAATATTTTGTGGTTTTATTATTTAATTTTAGAAAATCTGTGTATGAGACCTATATATCCGCCTAAGTTGGTAGCGTTATTTTTAATTCGTAATTCATATTAGACGTGCGATCCAAAACCTCAATAAATAAATAAATAAGAATTAAAAAAAATGGAATTCTGCGTTGAATAATAAATATTTATTTTTATTTGAAAAATATAAAAAATATATAAATATTTATATCCATACAAATATTTTTGTTTAAACTTTATTAATTAAAAAAACGTCTAAGTAATTTTTTCTAACCTCTTTCATTTCAATTTTATACTGTTTATTTATTTATTAATAGATAAACGGTCTTAATATATGGAATAATTAATTAAAATCTATAATAATTATTAAAAAAAAAACTATGAGTCTAATCTAATAAATATTTGAGTTTCCATTGTTAATCTACTCAGTAGATTATTGAATTTATAATTTTTTTCATGTATATATATATATATATATATATATATATATTTATAAATAAATTAAGCATAAATAAATGTTATAATTTATAATTTGTAATATAATCTTATATAAATGGCGTTTATAAGGTAGGAAAGCAAATATATTTTTTTAAGTTTAAAAAATTAATTCACGAAAAAGTAGGATGTTAAAAAATTTGGTTAGATTAAATGTTGACTTTATAGTTTTAATTATTGCAGACTTATATAAATTACTTTTTTAAATAGAAATATTGTTTATTAAAAAATCCTAAACTTATGGGATTGGATGTCTCTAAGTTGATTATTAAACTTTATAACATTAGCCTAACAACTCTCGAACAGTATATAATAGACTCTTATGTTAAAATGTGAATATATTGGTGTTTCTTAATTCAACAAAATAGAGACGGAGTTTCAATATATGTTTCAGTGATGCTAAATTTGCTCAAATGTGAACATAGGGACGTTTTTTTTTTATAATAGTCCAAGTCTACCATTAGCAAATATTGTTCACTTTAGTGTCAGCTCCACGGTTTTAAAATGCGTTTGTTAGGGAAAAACAAGAGTCCAGCGTTTTTGTTGACACACCATTTGTAACCGTCAAAGTTCACCGCTACCATATATTATTGAGCTATTACATTTTTAGTTTGATACGTATAGCTTGATGTTCAAATTTCTAACCTTTTTTTTGTTGAAGATATATACATTAGTGACGTGGAAGATCACCTTTTTTAGTGAATAATATAGGAATTTGGTTATTGGGCATTGGCACCATTTTGATGGTTTGATGATGTTTATTTTTAAAATATAATAAAAAAATTAAAATTATTATTTATTTGGACTTATAATTCTCAAAATCTCGCACCGGGCAGTCGAGTCTTTGTTACTCTTAGTCAACCACCACTTTCAGGTTGGCCATCATCTTCCCCACCTTCCTTCGAACACTCTGTTCATCCTTCAAATCATCAGAACCACACAATAGAGCTTCAAATCCGAACTCTGCAACTCATTTCTCCATTGTTTTTCTTGGTGTGTTTGAAGTAAAAAGCTGATGGAGTTCTCAGATGAAAAGAAGGTGAAAGAAAATCCAGCAGAGTGCCTACTGGAGAGCATTGAAATCGATCACATGGTGGCCGACGAGAAAACCTCTGAACTAAGAGATTTAAACCAATCGTACTGGAAGCAGAGCAACTGCAATGGCGATATGAAGAAGACTGCCGTCGATACTTCTCAGTCGTTCGTCGGAATGAGAAGACGACGGAAGGGGTTTAACATGTTGAGGTTTCTGGAAGGTTCCATAGCCGGAAAAGAAGAGGAAGCATGGAAAACAACAGAGAAGCGTTTTCGTCAACTAGCGCCTGATGGAAAACTTTCTAGAGACAAATTTGGAGCCTGCATTGGTGAATTTCTCGTCCTCTCTGTGTGATTAATCTCGTTTTTCTTGTTTTTTTTTTTTTGTCTTTTTTTCTAGCTAAATTAATATTTGGATCATCGGTTGCTGTTCTTATTTAGGGATGAAAAAAGACACGACGGATTTTGCTGGGGAACTGTATGATGTATTGGCAAGGAGACGAGAGATAATGGCAGCGAAAGGGATTACGCTGCAAGAATTGAGAGCGTTTTGGGATGATTTGACAAAAGAAGACCTAGATTCTCGGCTTCGGATATTCTTTGATTTGTATAAAACTCTCTTATATGTTTTTCCTTCTGATCCTGAAATGTAGATTCTGAAGAGCTCGAGTGTTTTCAGGTGTGACAAAAATGGCGACGGGAAGATCTCAAGGGAAGAGGTGAAGACGGTATTGGAATGGAGCGCTTCTGCAAACAAATTGAACAATCTTGAGAAAGAATCTGAAACGTTCGTATCTCTGATCATGGAGGAGCTTGATCCAGACCGCAATGGGTTTATTGAGGTACTTGTTAAAAAATAAACTAGGAAGAACAGGAAGATCAAATTCCTTTTCGCTTAAAACTCTAGCTAAAAGAACTGATATGGGTTTAAACAGATTGAGCATATGGAAATTCTAGTGAGAGGAATGTGGAGCTCTGAAGAAGAAAAACGATTGCAGAAACAATATTCTAAACTTCCGGCGTCCCCGATTCTAGGAATCTGCAATACTCCAGCATTTCTGAAGGAAACAGAAGAAGTTATTATGACGAACTGGAAAAGAATCTGGGTTTTGACACTGTGGATAGCAATAAATTTGGGACTATTTGTTTGGAAATTCATGGAGTACAGAGAGAAGGGGGCGTTTAAAGTGATGGGTTATTGTGTTTGTGTCGCAAAGGGAGCAGCTGAGACTCTCAAATTCAATATGGCTCTCATTCTGTTTCTTGTTTGTAGAGGCACATTAACCAAACTTAGATCCACCTTTCTCAGCTCCATATTCCCTTTTGATGATAATATCAATTTCCACATGCTGGTTGCTGTAGCCATTTCGGTAGGCACTTTTCTTCATGCCACAATGCATTTGACATGTGATTTTCCCAGATTGACTTCATGCTCAAACAACAAGTTCATGGCAATTCTTGGGCCAAATTTTGACTTCAAGCAGCCAAGTTACCCTGACTTGGTTGCAAGTGTTCCTGGTGTTACTGGAATCCTCATGATCATTATAATGTCCTTTTGCTTCACATTGGCAACTCCTTTATTCAGGAAGCATAAAGACAAGTTACCTCCGCTGCTTCAAAATTTGGCAGGCTTCAATGCCTTCTGGTTTGCACATCATTTGCTTGTTCTGTGCTATGTCCTACTGATTCTTCATGGCTACTTCATATTCCTGGCTCAGGACTGGTACAAGAGGACGGTACGTCTATTGTCTTCGTATTGCTATTAGATGTTAATATCTTCATTCATATTAACAATGTGAGATCTCACATTGGTTGGAGAGGGGAACGAAACATTCCTTATAAAGGTGTGGAAACCTCTTCTTAGTAGACACTTTTTAAAACCTCGAGGCTGACGATGATATGTAACAGGTCAAAATATATGTATTTACTAGTGGTGAACTTGAGTTATTAAAAATGGTATTATAGCCAGGCACCGGTCGGTGTGCCAGCGAGGACATTGGCACCCAAGGGGAGTGGATTGTGAGATCCCATATTGGTTGGAGAGGTGAACGAAACATTTTTTATAAGGGTGTGGAAACCTCTCTCTAGCAAACGCGTTTTAAAATCGTGAGGCTGACGGCGATATGTAACGGGCCAAAGCGGACAATATCTGTTAGCGGTGGATTTGGGCGGTTAGAAATGGTATTAGAGTCAGATACCAGGCGGTGTGCCAGTGAGGACGTTGGGCTCCCAAGGGGGTGGATTGTGAGATCCCACATTGGTTGAAAAGAAGAACGAAACATTCCTTATAGGGGTGTGGAAACCTTTCTCAAAACTAAGGCTGACGATACGTTGCTGACCAAAGCAGATAATATCTGCTAGGGGTGAGTTTGAGCGGTTGTCAAATGAGGTTACAAACAATGTCAAAGGAAGGATAATCAGTGAATGAGCAAAATTGTTGGATAACAGTTAAATGAGCAAAACAATAGTTCAAACTGAACAAACCAGTGAATTACAACAACGATCTCAATGTCTGTCACCTCTCCATTTGCAGACATGGATGTACATTGCAGTTCCAGTACTTATATATGTGATTGAGAGACTTGTTATAAAGTTCTACGAATTTTACCATCAAGTCAATGTGATGAAGGTACTAAGATCTGCAAGCCATTTATCTTTTCTTGGAGGTTTGGCCGTGCAAATTAAACAATTTCTTCTGGTTTTCTCGGATTTTTCAGGGAATAGTATATAAAGGAAACGTTCTAGCTCTGTACTTGACGAAACCTCCAGGATTTGTGTACAAAAGTGGAACGTATCTGTTTATTAAGTGCCCTGATATATCAAATTTTGAATGGTAATAGCTCATATCGATCTATTTCTATTTAGAAGTGGATTATATTTTAGGATAATTGGAAGTATGATCACTTGAATTGGGACGTTTTTCACTGGACAGGCATCCATTCTCTATCACTTCTGCACCCAGCGATGACTATTTAAGTGTCCATATACGTGCATTAGGAGATTGGACAGAAGCGCTCAGAAACAAATTTAAAGAGGTAATAAACTTGTTTCATCTGTCAAGCTCTTGTGCCCTTTATTTATTTGTGTTTTCTGATCGTGTTAAATTGCATAACAAACTAGTATAAAGTTCATCACATTTTACTGTTTTTCCCTCCATTTCTACATACTAAACACAGAGGAAATGCAGGTCTGTGAACCTGAAACTAAAAAGAGGAAGGGGGGAATTGCTAGACTGGAAACCAAAACGTATTTGGATTACGTTCCTTCGGAATCAAGGTGAGTAAAAAATCGGGTCGTTTCGAGTTAGTTTGTGTAACAGGCCAAGCCTACTGCTAGCAGATATTGTCCGCTTTGGTCCTTTACGTATCACCGTCAGCCTCGCGATTTAAAATGCATCTACTATGGAGATGTTTCTACACCCTTATAAGAAATGTTTCGTTCCCCTCTCCAACCGATGTGGGATCTCACAATCCACCCTCTTTATGGGCCAGCGTCCTTGCTGGCACACCGCCCAATGTTTGTTGAATCAGAGCCAGTCACCGGATGGTGCGAGACATTGGTTGGAGTAGGCTAGACTCTCTCCATAGTAGACGCATTTTAAAACCGTGAGGCTGGCGGCGATACGTAACGTGAGGCTAAAGCGAATAATATCTGTTAATGATGGGCTTCGGTGTTAACGTATTTTCAATCCAAAAATGGTTAATTAGGCTGGTATTGCATTTGCAGTAAGAAATATCCCCAGATATTCATCAAAGGACCATATGGAGCCCCTGCACAGAGCTACGAGAAGTATGACATTCTCTTGCTCATAGGCCTTGGGATTGGGGCTACTCCAATGATCAGCATTTTGAAAGATTTACTAAACCACATCAAACAAAGTGACTCCCACACTGTAAGTATAGCAAACCAAACCAAACCAAACTGTTGACATCTTTGTGAAAGTCTGGGAAATAATCCAAGCATAATTGCAGAACGATGCCCCAAAGGTCCCAAAAAGAGCATATTTCTATTGGGTGACAAAGGAACAGGCATCATTTGATTGGTTTAAAGGTGTCATGGATGATGTTGCCGAGTACGATCACGATGTACGTCGACCGTGTTTAAACAAGAAAATCACTCAATTCTATATCCATTCTATATGCAAGTAATCAACTTTCTTCATTTGAATCATTGCAGAAAATAATAGAAATGCACAACCACTTAAGTTGTATGCACGAGGAAGGAGACGCCCGATCCGTGCTCATCACCATGCTTCAACAAATTCAGAAATCTAGAGGGGAAGAAGTGGACGTTGTCTCTGGTAGCCGGGTAATCATGAACACAATTTACACAACAAAATTTTCCATCCAAATTCTCTTTCAATCCTCATAGGCTTGTATGTTATTTTAACACAACTGTACCACAGATAAGGACTCATTTTGCGAGACCGAACTGGGAGAAAGTTTTCGAAGAGTTGGCATCTAGACACAAAGGCTCTCAAATAGGTGAGAAATCGAGCCTCTAATCTAAACAAAATGGGTTTAAGCTAATTTAAGCTTTTGGATTGAGAGGTAATTTAATGGGTCCTTAAACTCTTTAAAGTTATTTAGCTTTTGGGTGGATTGAGCTATGATTTGACGGGTTCTGTGGTTGAAGTCCTTGAAATCATTTTCACTTAATGGGTCGCATTCGAACTCTTTTAAAGTCATTTTGCTTTTAGGTGGATTGAGCTACGAGTTCGACGAATTCTGTGTGTTGTATGATAAAAGTTCCATGTGGACTAATTTAAGGAATGATTATGAGTTTATAATCAAAGGATACTCGCTCCATTGGTGTAAGGCCTTTTGGGGAAAACTAGAACAAAGTCATGAGAACTTATGCTCAAAAAGTGGATAATATCATACTATTGTGGAGAGTCGTGTTCGTCTAACACTATGGTGGAACTCCACTTTTGAGTTGGGTTAGGTGGTGATCTAACACGCTCTCGTCGGTTTCAGGTGTGTTTTACTGTGGACCATACACTCTCGTCAAGGAATTGCGGGGTCACTGCCAAAATTTCAGCGACAGCTCAAGATCAACAAGGTTTCGTTTCCACAAGGAGAATTTTTAGCAACCTTTCCCCACCAAACACTTCAAAAAGAAGTTGTAAAATGGAAGCCATCATCTTAAGTGATTTTGAAATTTCTTGTCTTAATAATTATCCTTTTACTTATTATATTTTTTATTTTTATAAATTGAGCCCATACACATTGTTTAAACTCGAACGAAGCTTCGATTACTTAAAATTAAGGGTCTATTAGAAAAGGAATGTAGCTTTGCTTGCTACCCATACAGCTAAAAGATCTGATGCCACAGCCAAATCAATATATTGTTCTGTTCTAAGCTTGTTCATGATGTAAAATTTTCCAGCCTTCTTCTCCCATAATTCTCGAACAGTAACCACGCAAGTAATTAATAATCCTAGAGAACAATCCAAGTTTGGTATAAAACTGGTTATGATTTAAGCTGACACTTGACTCTTCAGTTCATCACCATTCTTCAACCCTCTGAAACTGAGAGCTGAGAAAGAATGGCGAAAGATAATCCAGCAGAACGCGGCGAGCCTTCTCCGCCGGTTGCTGGAAATAAAAAAGAGCATAAACACCTTCACTTGTTGAGCTTTCTGAATGGTTCCGTCGCGAACTCATGGAAGAAAGTTGAGGAGAAATTTCACGGGCAAGTGGAAGACGGAAAACTTTCCAGGGACAAATTCGGAGCCTGCATTGGTGAAACTTTCTCTATTTCTCTATGATTTAATCTCTATTTTGCTTACAAATATTGTGAAATTTGTGTTTGTTGATCCTGTTTCAGGCCTGAATGAGGACTCCAAATACTTTGCACACGAACTGTTTGATGTATTGTCAAAGAGAAAAAAGGTAGAGCCAGAGAAAGGGATTACTCTGCAACAATTGAGGGTGTTTTGGGAAGAATTGAATAAGGATGATCTGGATACCAGGCTTGAGATCTTCTTCGATTTGTAAGCTTCTCTCCCAAACTTGAGGCACTAAATTGGTTCCTAATTCATCCGCTTATGGATTTGAAATTTGTTGTCAGGTGTGATAAGAACGATGATAATAAGATCTCGAAGGAAGAGGTGGAGACTGTACTGAAATGGACTGCTTCTGCAAACAAGTTGACAAGTATTGAGAAACAAATTGAATCCTACGCATCTATGATCGTAAAAGAGCTTGATCCAGACGGCAATGGGTTTATTGAGGTACTAAAATAACCAAGTAAAACAATAATGCCTTTAATTTTTTTTAAGACAAATTAGTGACATAACATGATTTATAGCGTTAGAACGAACATTAATAAGTAGGTTAAATACGTTCATGCAGTGGAGTGTGATGGGAAAACCTTCCCCGTCCCTATCTGCCGCCTATTTCAATCCTCAATCTCGTCCCTTCACCAAAAATAACATTTTGTCTCTCCATGTAACACCTGAGGCTGAATCGTCAAAGAGAGTGGACACTAGGCGGTTTGCCAGTGAGAACGCTGACCCCAAAGGGAGGTGGATTGAGGGGATCCCACATCAAATGAAGAGGAGAACAAGTGACAGCGAGAACGCTGGCCCTAAAGGAAAGTGGATTGTGAGATCCCACCTCAATTAGAGAGTGGAACAAAACATTTTATAAGGGTGTAAAACCTCTCCCTAGCTTTTAAAAACTGGAGGGAAAGTTCGAAAGAGAAATCATGAAAACAATATCGGTTAGTGGTGGACTTAAGCTGTTACACTCTACCTAATTCAATATATGTCCTTTCAAAATTCTCAATTTTTTTTCGGACTAGGTTGTTTGGGTGAATTTCCCTCCTCTTTTACTAAAACCTATTCATTTCAATGAAACTTTTTAATGATAACTTCCATTTTTCATATAATTTTAATTAAAAAATAAAATATCATAATAAATCTTATTAAATAAAAAATATAATATATAGTTTTGCTTAATGTAAATTCAAATTTCAAGATTAAATATATAATAGGTATAAACTCACTTGAAATTCATCTGAAAGAATTGATGTCTTCGACAGATTGAACATTTGAAACTTGTAATCCGAGAACTGTGGAATCCTGAAGAAACCAAAATGTTGCAGCATCAGGATGTTTCAACCAGCAAATTTGTGAGAGAAACAATAGAACTAATCAACGATAACAGGAAAAGAATCTGGGTTTTAACACTGTGGTTAGCCATAAATTTGGGTCTGTTTCTTTGGAAATTCATGGAATACAAGGAGAAGGAAACGTTTAAACTGATGGGTTATTGCATTGGTTCTGCTAAGGGATCAGCCGAGACTCTGAAATTCAATATGGGTCTGATTCTGTTTCTTGCTTGCAGAGGCACATTAACCACACTTAGATACACATTTCTCAGCTCCATATTCCCTTTTGATGATCATATTTCCTTTCACATGCTGGTTGGTGTAGCCATTTCATTGGCCACTTTTGTTCATATGATTATGCATTTGGGATGTGGGTTTCCAATATTGTCCACATTGGTTTTGAGTCCAAGCAGGCAGGTTACTGTGATTTGCTTTTAAGTGTTCCTGGTGTTACTGGAATCCTCATGGCCGTTATAATGGCCTACAGCTTCACTCTGACAATTCCTTCACTTAGAAAGAGTAAGAAGGAGTTACAGGAATCCTTTCATCATTTGATAGGTTTCAATGCCTTCTGGTATGCATATCATTTGCTTTTTCTGGTCTATGTCTTACTGATTCTTCATGGCTACTTCCAATCCCTAGCTTGGGATTGGTTGAATCGCGGTCTTATTGGTCTTAATCTAAAGCTACTGTCTTTGTTCATATTGTTAATATCAAGTTTAGAATGGATGTGTTGGATAGGTGAAGGTGTCCTGTTAGAATCATGAAATGGCTCGTTTAAGTTTGTGTTTTGTTTGGTGAGATCCCACATCGATCGGAGAGGAGAATGAATCATTTTTTATAAGGGTGTAGAAATCTCTCACTAGCAGACGCGTTTTAAAACTTTGAGGGGAAGCCCGGAAGGGAAAACTCAAAGAGGATAATACCTGCTAGCGGTGGGCTTCAGCCGTTACAAATGATATTAGAGTCAGGCACTGAACGGCCTGCCAGCGAGGACGCTGGGCCCCAAGGGAGGTGGATTGTAAGATACCACATCGGTAGGGGAGAAGAACGAACCATTTTTTATAAGAGTGTGGAAAACTCTCTCTAGCAGACACATTTTAAAACCTTGACGGAAAGCTCTGAAAGGAAAATCCAAAAAAGACAATATCTACTAGCGGTGGGCTTTGCTCGTTACATGTTTAATGGGTTTCTCAACGTTAAAATGTATCTAAAAAGTCTCTAAACTTCATGATCTCTCTTCATATTGCAGACATGGATGTACGTTGCATTCCCATTAGTTCTATACTCAATGGAGAGACTTGGTATAAGCTTCAACGAACAAAAACATGAAGTCAAAGTAAAAAAGGTACAGATGAAATATAAGAAATTCTCTCTTAAGTTTTTCTTGGACTTTACAGGCAGTAGTGTATAGCAGAAATGCTCTGGTAGCACTATACTTGACAAAACCAGAAGGATTCAAGTGTGAAAGTGGGATGTATCTGTTTGTTAAGTGGAAGGATATATCAAAATTTCAATGGTGATATCTCTCATATTTTAAGAGCTACTTATCTATGAGAACAATGAGTTGACTCATTGGGATGTTTTTATCACTGGATACACAGACCTTCGATCTGTTAAACATCACGTATTTATTTAGATTGCTGTTAGTTAGTATCTAATTAAATCTCCGTTAGAAGTTTGATTTAGTTTTGATTTGTTTACTGGTTTGTTACCGATTTTCTACATATTTTTATTTTCTAAATATTTTTGTGTATTCTCTCTGTGCAGAGAGAGTATTCATTCAATAACTCACTCTTTCACTGACACATTCTCTATCACTTCTGCACCAGGAGATGACTATTTAAGTCTCCATATACTTAATCAAGGAGATTGGACATCCGAGCTCATGAACATATTTGAAAAGGTATACTCGACAATACTCCAAACTCGGATATGACAGGTTAAAAGAATATAATGTCTTAACCAGTTGAGCGTCAGCACTAGTTCTTCTATAAGTTTCTTAGAGGCAATATGTATTCTTACGTTAATTCTCTCTAGCACTGTTTTGGAGATTGGATACATTTAAGATGGTTTGGTTGAGATCTCACATCGGTTGGAGAGTAACCTCTCCTTAATAAACGCTTTTTAAAACTGTGAGGCTGACAACTATATGTAACGGGCCAAAACGGACAATATCTACTAGTGGTGGGCTTCGCTTGCTACAAATGATATCAGAGTCAGGCATCAGGCGGTGTGCCAGCGAGGACGCTGGTCTCCCAAGGGGGTAGATTGTGAGATCCCACATCGGTTGGAGAGGAACGAATTATTCCTTATAAGGGTGTGAAAACTTCTCTGTAACAAACAACAAACGTGTTTTAAAACTTTGAGGAGAAACCCAGAATGGAAAATCTAAAAAGAACAATATCTACTAACGGTGTAGTTGAGCTATTACAGTAATGTCCCATGAGATTTGGAGAAAAAAAAAAAAGCATCGAAGAGTCTTCTTGTAAAAGTGTCCATTTTCAAGTTTAGGGCATATTTTGATCCCTTTGTACACACTAAAACCAGAGGAAATTATGCAGGCATGTAGCGCTGAAGATAAAATGAAAAGAGGTGGAATAGTTAGACAAGAAACAACAAACGACTTGGGATCAAGGTGAGTGAAAACTATGTGTTGTTCTGAGGCAGAAATGCAAGCCACAAATGGAGCCCCAGCACAAAATTACAAGAATTATGACATTCTCTTGCTCATAGGCCTTGGAATTGGAGATACTCCAATGGTCATGTTAAGGATATTTAATAATAAATTATAGTTTACCGTATATATTATATTTGATATTTTATTATAAGACAAATATCTAATATTTGTCTTATTATCATTGGTATCTTTCCATTTATTGTTATTTCCATTTATTACTATTTCCATATCCTTGTAATTTATTTGATTATAAATAAGATAACTTTCACATCATTTAGGTGTCGTGGATTAATCAAACATTCATATGGTATTAGAGCCCTCTCGGTTTAACAACCCCGATCCTTTCTTTTCAATGACTTTTGAATCCTCTAATCTTCTTCTCCACCACCCCTGCTGGCTTTGACGCCGCAGGGGCAGTCTTCATGGTTGCCGTAGTCGGAGCCGATTGATTACTCTTCGGCTCCACCCTATTGACCTCTAAATCACCTTTCGTCATACTCTGTACATACAACCTCATCTTTTCCAACCCAATCGGTTTTCCCCTTGGCCAATATAGTCTCTCTCATTTTCTTCCCAATCAACCTTCATCCTTCACATAAACCCTGACCTAAACCTATCAACCTTTTGTAGAGATTTACCTTCGGAATCTGGGTGCCGCACTAGCCTATTCGCCAACCAAGTTGCCGCCGCCCTTCCTGCCAAAATTGGCTTCTTCGCCCGATGAGGCGACTCTTCCGACTGCCCTTCTCGCCAAAATTGGCTCCTTCGCCCAATGTGGCGACTCTTCCGGCTTCAACATTGTCTTTGTCCCTTGCTCTAGGTTTCCCCTTCTACTTCTTGGGGTTAGAAATATTCTCACCAGAGCCAAGGCAGCATCGCCGCTGAGCGGCGATCCCTCTGCAATTTTTGATGGCCAAGAACCGAGTTGTTAGCATCTTCATGAAAAGTGTTTCTCAACCTCTTTGAATTTTTCAGATTCAAGTTTCACGTTCGTTTAAATCCGACGCTTAGCTTGCGGTGGGGTGTTAAGGATATTTAATAATAAATTATAGTTTACCATATATATTATATTTGATATTTTATTATAAGGTAAATATCTAATATTTATCTTATTATCATAGGTATCTTTCCCTTTATTGTTATTTCCATTTATTACTATTTCCATATCATTGTAATTTATTAATCGTATCTTTCCCTTTATTGTTATTTCCATTTATTACTATTTCCATATCATTGTAATTTATTTGATTAACTTTCACACCATTTATGTGTGGTGGATTAATCAAACATTCACAGGTCAGCATTTTGATAGATCTATTAAACCACGTCAAAACAAATCCCCCACAAAACGTAAGTGTATATTGTTAGACGAACACGACTCTCCATAATGGTATGATATTGTCCACTCTAACCATAAGCTCTCATGACTTTGCTTTAGGCTTCCCAAAATGCCTCATACCAATGAAGTTAGTATTCCTCACTTATAAACCCATGATCATTCCCTAAATCAGCCGATGTGGGACTTTCATCATCCAACAATTATGATTACTATGATATAACATAAACGAGTATCGTATGTTTATTTATTTTAAATATATATATATAATTAAATGAAAAAAAGAAAGAAGAAAAGTGGAATATGTAGATATGGTGAAGAGTGTCAAATCTGATGGGGCATTGTGGAAAATAGCATGGTACCCATATTTGTTAAGGCATTGACTTAAGCCTGAAAGATTCTAAACCATTCCAAACCCTTCTTCCTAGACAGCCCTTAGCTGTTACTGTCTCTTCAATATTGTCTTCTATTCTGCACTCCACAGTGTTTTTTCTCTCTTTAAATTACCCGAATTATAAAGCATTCATCGAGGGCATGGAACCGCTAACATCCCCCACATTATAACTTGAGCGTTATTAGAGCCATGATCTTGATTTAGTTGTGCTGTGTGCTTCGAAGACAGGATGAAAGACTATTCGAGGGCAAACATCAAATACACCTTGTTCATAGCTAACGGTTTCTCGTACATATTTGACAACACCTTCAATAAATCTGACATTGTCTTCTCCTTGATGATATTGAACGCTACGTTTCTAGACAACATCAATCAAATCAACCCTAACGAGAAATATTGGTAAAGGTTTTATTTTGAGAGCACCGTCTAATTAGGTATATATATAGTTTCAGTTTACTAAATATAAAACACTAAAATGTTTTAAAATATAGTATAGAGAGATGGGACGGTAGTCAATTCTTCTTACCTGAATTATATGTTTTCAAAGCCGAGATTATTGTTTATTAGTTTTTTAATTTTTTTTTTTTCGAAAAATAAAACGAGATCGTATTTTATTTATTTTATAAAAATTATTATTATTATTATTATTATTACTTAATCAATTGCAATAAAAATTAACTAAGATTTATTATTATTAAAAGGGACATTACAAATTCAACAAAATAAGAAGGGTGAGTCAGAATGTGAAACGGCAAATCAGATTTTCCTTCTCCAAATTTTTACAATATTTATGACATTCATTTTAAGCCCTCACCAACCCTACTCGCTACTTACCCTACGCCACCCCCCCCCCCCNCCCACTATTTTTCTTGTAAATTAAATATTTATTTTTCACTAATTCCCCCATCCACCCTTTCCACTCCAGCCTTCTTCCTCCTTCACCCACCCCCCCTCACCGGAAACAGCTCCAACGTCCTCAGCGTCCCATTACCACATGTCGTCTCTGCATCCTCCTCCCCCACCGCCATCCCATCATCGCCACCGCCCTCCACCTCCGTCGACCGTCCCTCTCCACCCTCCCCCTGCATAAACAAAACCCGTAATTAAAATCATATCAAATTCCCCAACCCATATTGGTTAATTTAAAAATGATCGGTAGATTTTTATAAATCTCCGTACCTGAAAATGAGTTGGAAGCGGGAGTAGCGGCGGCAGGAACCGCTGCTGGTGGTGGTGCTGAAGAAAACAGTGAAAGAAATGATGGTCATCAAAACGTTGTCGTTTAATGAAGAAATGATGTTGCTGAAGCTGCTTATAAAGCTTCCTACGCAGCTTCTGGCGATCTCTAGCCTTGTGGTTTTGAAACCAATAGAACACATTCTTGCCTTCAATCTTTCCATACAAAGAAAGATGGGAAGTAATATGCTGAATCTGAGTGGCATTGGGAGTCTTAAGCCCATTTCTATAAATCTCCTCCAAAATCATCACTTGCTCGGGGGTCGGACACCACCGTGATGGGGTAGCCGCCGCCGCCGCCGGAGACATTTTTGAGGTATTTTTGTTGGTGGGTTTGTGGTGGTGGGTGTGGTGTGTGTGAGTATAAATAGAAAGAATTGTGGAGAGAGAAGATCCAGTGGGTAAAGAGGGAGAGGGACAAGGAGGATGGATGATGATAAAAGTGAAAAAAAAGGGCTAAAAAGTCTTAGTTTTAGAAGAAAAATAAAGGAAAGGCAGTGATGAAGGAGTGTCATGCTATGTTTCCCATGGAGAGGCATTCATCTCTAGATTTCACCCATTACGTACACTGTCAACCAAAATAAATAAATGTGTTTTTTTTTTTTTATAAATTTATTGAGTATAGTGTATTGGAAAGTAAAACCGAGACCATAACTTTATAAAAAATACTTAGAATCGAAATGGACCATTACTACGGTTAGATGATGAACGTCTGAGAAGGACTCGCCATGGTAAGTTTCGGCTAGCTTAGGTACAAAATTGTTTATGTGGACCACTAGGTCTTGCAAAAGCGAGAGGTATTGTTGGCTGGGCATGCGAGACGACATTGTTGAGGATGTGAAGACGTGCCTCGTGTGTCAATCGAACAAGGTTGAGCAGAACAGACTACGGGAGTATGTCTTAATTGTGTGGACTCACAAACAAAATGAAAGATACAAGACCATCCATATTCTTTAAATGGGTAAGACTCGTTTAGATTTTTTTTTTTTTTTAATAATATCTATTGCGAATGAATTTTGGAATTTATTATAGCGTATTGAAATAGAAGCCAGTTCGACGAGATCTAATGAATCTTCTTGAGAGGAAAGGGGTCGATCAAGAGAGATTTGGTAAGTTTGGATGTTCCACTTTCACGGCAGGAATTGACTCTACACCCCCATTTCGGTGCCCTACCCGACTCAAGTGTCTCGAACTTATTACCTCCTAAACTTTTTAAAAGTCAATTTTAATAATTAAGAAATGGTAAAAGATAATTAAAAAAAAAAAAAAAAAGGAGGAGGAGGAGTGTAAAAATAGGAAAAAAAGAGGGATTTAGAAGATGATTATGTCATCATCACCTCGTAATATGATTACCACTTTCTCAACGGAATGAACAAGACGGCCAGACACTTGGGACTTGGGCCTTCTCCTTCTTCTACTGTCAATCACTCCACCTGTACCCGTACCTAATCCCCACTCAGCCAATCAACACACGCCAACTCGGATGCCTTGCCAAATCGACGCTAATATTCCACCTCATCAATTAATTAAATTCCTCAAAATAAAAACTCAATTATTTTCCCCAATGGAAAACGTCGCGTATTGGATAAAGCAGTGCATCGACGTTCATAAATGCGAGGAGGGCCAGGAGGCAGCCAGCTCTGTCTCTCGAATAATCTCAGTCGTCCGTTTGTCGCCACGTCGCGACGATCGTCAACCAAGAAGGAGTAGGAGAAGGTTTAGCAAAACGACATCGCAGAGTACATTGTCTTCTTCCACCCCTTTTATTATTATTATTATTATTTTTTTTTTCCATCTTTAAAATTCCTATTCAACCTGCTCCTCCTGCCCACAATTTCAACGCATGCTTTTTTTTATTTATTATTATTATATTAAAATTATGTTATTTATTATTATTATTATTTTTAATATAAAGGACATTGGTCGGCCTGGCTCTCGAAAAACGACGAAGACAGCAATTCAAATCACTTGGGTAGAATGGTAATTTCGCCATCCTGAACTCTAGACAATGATCCTGGTCGAACTGTGTGGGCCCGGCCCACTTATATGATTCCGTGGGGCCCGTAAAACCTACCCTCTCGTGTGTCTCGACAAAGTGGATTAAATGTTTTATTTTTTATAAATAAAGTAGGGTTTTTAAAAATAAAGATTATGTGAAGAAGTGCAATACGACGTCGTGTAGTCTAATCAAAATGGAAGTGGGGGTCGTGTGTTTTGCATGGGATTGAATGGGTGATTGGACGGCTCCTTATGTCAACCAGGCTGTGGTCATCTCCTTCTGACCACTACCATTTCTCTCTTCCCCGTCATCATTTCGTAATTATAGTTTTTTTTTTTTTTTCCATCCCATTTTATTTATTTATTTATTTTTATGTACCTTTTTTTCTATTTAATTTTTTTTTTTAACAAGTTCCTCCACTTTCAAATTATGATTAATTGATTCAAAATAAATTTGAAATTTCTAAAAGTATATTAAAATAAAAAATAATCTTGAATTGTACCCACAAACTTTTAATATCTTCGTTAAAAAACAACCCTTGTAACATTTTGTGTAATTATATGTTCATATATATATATATATATATATTATTGTGTTAAATAATAATAATAAGAAGAAGAATGCAATAAAGTGGAGGTGGGCATGCATGGAGTGATTGATTGGGCAGGACGGAAAACAAGTCGGTCAGCTAACCCAAACAGGGCCGTACTGCGGTCAGGCCAAACCCATTCTTACCGCTCCCTAACCCTTTAGCTCCTACCTCTGAAACCTTCAATGACAGCTGCTTTAGACCATTAAAGATAAACCATAAATATGAGTTTCTTTTAAGTTTTTTAAAACTCGACTACTAATTAGAGTTTTTCATATTTTTATAAAAAAAATGTTTCATTTTCCTCTCTAATCAATGTGGAATCTTCCAATCCATTCCCTTTGAAGTCCACCGTCCTCGTTGACACTCGTTCTCATCTCCAATCGATATGGAATCTTACATTAGTTGGAAAGGAAAATGAAGCATTCTTTTGTAAATCTCTCCCTAATAGCGAAAAATTCAAAATGAAAAGTTTAAGAAGGACAATATTTATTAGCGATAATTTCATATGGTCGTGATCACTCTCGTCCCCCAACCACATCTAAGAAAGGTTTTTCTTAATGGATCGTGTCTTAGATTTATACTCGGATTGAAATGTGGGAGCGGAATTGGAATTGGAATTCTAAACATTACATTCATATTTATAAAAATGGATTGAAGAAGAAGAAGAAGATTGGTTGGGGAAGGATTTAAAAAGGGCAGAAAATGAGGGGGACAAAGGGGATTAATGATCAGTCACATCTAAGTACGTAAAAACAACAAAAGTAGTAAATATTCTGAATACAACTTTCCATCACCGTTCCACCAAATCTCTGCAATGGTCGGTCTGTTTTTTTCTTGTGTTTCTTATTATTGAAGTACCTAATAAATGCCCATCCAATTCCATTACTTACTTCCCCTCTCATCTATCTTTTTCAAAAATTCCCCTTTTTCCATTTTAATTTACTAATTTTCCTCGCCTTATTATTCATCATCTCAACCCAGGTTAGATTCTTAATTTAGTAAGAGTTATTATATTGAAAAAATATATAACCCGAACAATTAAGTTGGGTTTAAACAAATGTCCCAACCCGATCGAACTTAACCTATGAACACCTCTAATCTAAGCTCAAAAGTTTACCAATTTGATTATCTAATAAATTCAAAAGTTGGCGGATGCAGATACTTACAAGCTGAGCGTAAAGGCTGGAAGCACTGAATGAGGATTTGTTCTTCACTATCGCAAATCACAGCCTCTGGAAGCCAACGCTAATATTGTTCTTATAGCGTCTGGACAGATCACAAACGTTCTTCTTCACACAAAATCCGACCCCCAAAACGACGCCGTATTCTAAACATGCTCACCCGGCCTTACTCCACCGCACAACCAGCCACATTCGACAATTCCACCGTCGCCGGAATTTTAGCCAACCCTACCGCCCCCAAACGACACCGTATTTGCCGCGAACTTCACTGACAAATTCCGCAGCTTGGCCTACTCTGACATCCCGGCAAAAGTCCCCAAAGAGAGTCGACAAGCGATTCTTTTTCATAGTGGGCCTTGGAACGAGGCTGTGTAATCGCCAGCCGAATCGGGCTTGCAAGGGACCAATGGGCCGATGATTGCGAGCCTCTATAAATAACGTTTCCTTTGATTTGCTCAGGACGGCTCTTTTGCAGGCCCACTATTTGGGCCGGCCCAATGTAGTTTACACGGCTAACTTTCCCAACAGCCCAGAATTTGTTTTCAACTTCACGGGGACGGCGTTGAATAACACGAGGGTGAGAAATGGGACAAGGTTGTCCGCTTTAACACCCATGTGGAACGGTACACATTTCGAGCAGATATTGTTCGAGCAGATATTGTCCGATTTAACTTGTTACAAATCGTCATCCGCTTCACGGCTTTAAAATGAAATACAATTTTAAAACGCGTCGGTTAGAAAGAGGTTTCCACACCATTATAAAAAATGATCCATTCTTTTCTCCAATCGATGTAAGATCTCACAAAGATCCTCAAAAGTTCAATATTATCATTTTAAGGGATAGAGGATGGGTCGCTATTCACTTTCTTGCTAATAATCCATGTGGGGGCGCTTACATTTGGTAAAAAAAATGTAAAATTGTCTCTTCTCTCTACAAAGCATGGCTCAATAGGTTAAAACACGTGTTCTCGCAAACCCTATCCTCTAATCTAAGATCCAAATGCTCTTACATCGCAACAAATAACCTCCCTAAACCTTTTAAAATGAGTGCTGTTATAGGGCATTTAACTACCTAGCTGTGCCAATGAACAACAGCCAATAGACGTCAGTTCTGGCGGTGAATTCACTATTAACGCCAAACCCATCTAATACAATAACTCTTGATAGATGCCTGCTATGACACATTGCAGACTAATACCAAAAGAACAAACAAAATACATGAATTCCAAAGAACTACATATCATCATCCAATGGTCGAGAAATGTTTTCTTCAAGTTATAGAACGATGGTTAAAACCTAGAAACCTTTGTTTTCTACAAAATAATAACAAAAGTTCTTGAGATAAAACAAGACAAATGAGTTGCCTAGTAGCCATCCATTGCCAACTAGGATCTCATGTTTCTCCATTTCTACATCAAGAGTTTAAATATAACAACTCAAGCCCTTCGCAAGTAAATATTGTCTTATTTGGACTTTTTTTTTCGGGCTTCCTCTCAAGGTTTTTAACATGCTTTGCTAGGTGGAGGTTTCCACACCCTTATAAACAATGTTTCGTTTCCCTCTCTAACCAACGTGTGATCTCACATTAAATATATATGGAATCAAGGCTTTATAAATTGAAGAAGTGTCATCAAGCTTCAACCAATTATTATGGGTTCAGCTCAGATATTCTTCTTATTTTCATTTCTACAGTTGCTATTCCCCACACTTCCATCACTAGAGGCAACCCCGCTAGATAACACAAGACTATTCAGAGAATACATAGGAGCTGATGGCAATAACGTACGATTTTCAGACGTACCCATTCATCCCGAAGTCGAGCTCCACTTCATCCTCTCCTTCGCCATCGATTACACGGCTTCATCTTCTCCTTCTGCAACAAATGAAAAATTCAGAGTCTTTTGGGACGACCAAATCCTATCGCCTTCTTCTGTTTCTTCCATCAAGGCCCAGCATTCTAACATCAAGTTCGCCCTCAGCCTCGGGGGCGATACAGTAGGCAAACAATTTGCATACTTCAAACCTAAATCCATTACATCTTGGGTTAAAAATGCTTTCGAGTCCATATCGCGTATAGTGAAGGAGTATGATTTAGATGGGGTTGATATCGATTATGAACACTTCAAAGCACACCCCGATGTATTCACCGAGTGCATAGGGAAACTCCTGCTCCGTCTCAAACATCAGAATGTCATCTCATTTGCATCCATTGCACCGTTCGACGACGACGCTGTCCAATCACATTACTTAGCTCTGTGGAGGAAGTATGGAGATCTAATAGACTATGTCAACTTCCAGTTCTATGCCTATGGAAAAGGGACCACAGTTTCTCAGTTTTTGAATCATTTTGAGACCCAAACCTCAAATTATCAAGGTGGTAAAGTTCTAGCAAGCTTTGCAACAGATGGAAGTGGAGGTTTGACACCAGAAAAAGGGTTCTTCAAGGCATGCAGAACCCTTCAAAGTAGGGGCAAACTTCATGGCATATTTGTTTGGTCGGCAGATGACTCAAAGAAGAACAAATTTCACAATGAGATACAAGCACAAAACCTTTTGGCCAATACAGACTGATCAATCTCTTGATCAAATTGTATAAATAAGCATCAAATAATGTACCTTCTAAATTTTCTTTGCAAAAAGTTGCCTTTCACCCAGTTCTTCTTCCCTGTAAACATCAGAGATCAACAGGCTACTCATTCAAACAAATAAATCATTGACCAGAAGGGGTCAGGGGAAGGGTCCTAATGTCAAATTTTCACAAGAATGAACACAAAATTAGCTTCCTAAGCGATTGATAATACTTTTGGTATAAAGAATCAACATAGAAGGATGAAATAAACCATCAAGCAATTACCATTGATAGCAATTAGTAAACAGAAGCAAGAACTGTGAGTTCATCCGTCCTTGTCTCATAAATTTCCTTTTCTTCTCTTCGTACGCTGTTGTTCCTCAGACCCATCATCACCCCCTTCTTCCAAGTCTCGATTCTTCCTTTTTTTCTTCTCTTTCCTTTTCAACTCTTTGTCATCCAAAACTGGAATTTCCTCTTTCACCAGAGCTCCTCCACTGTTATTCTGAAAATCATCATCTTCTTCTTCCCTGTTCTTCTTCTTCTTCTTCTTCTTCTTTTTCTTCTTGCTCGACTCTGTTCCATCATCATTATCCTTATTTGTGCTCTTTTCCTCCTCGGCGTCTCTTCTTCTGTGACCTTCACTCTTTACTTGATCCTTATCGTCACCCAAACTCTTCTTGTCCACGTGCTTCTTTCTATCTTTTCCGCTTGCGATATTGTTCTCGACGAACTTCGCAGAAGCTTCAATTTCGCCATTGTTATCACTATTTCGCGATTTACTAGAACTTCGCCTGGCTCCAGCCTTATGTTCATCATCTTCAATCTTAGCATATCTATCCTCGCTCTTTTTCTGGTGCTTTTTTCCTTTTTTCTCAACTGCTACAACGCTCTTATCTTTATCACTTGATTCTACATCCATCTCTACTTTTCGGTTAGGTTTATCTTCAATTTCAGTCTTCAAGTCCTCGACCTTTCTCTTTCGATATTCACCCGATGCATCCTCAAAATCACCATTCCCACCGCTTTCCTTTTCCGCCTTCCCATCCTCAGATTGGACATTGAGACTCGTCTTACCACTTTTTCCATCTTTTGCTCTTAGATACAGGGGATTTTTCTTCTCGCCGTCTTCGATCCATTGTGGATTATCTCTGGCAGCCTCTGGATCGTTTGAAGCCTCGGATCCGTGATGCCGGTGCTTCCGATCGGACCGCGAAGATTTCAGCTCCTTGTGGAGCTGCTTTAACTCGTTGAAAGAGGCGGAGGCGCGTCTCAGATAGGCGCAGATTGCTTTCGAAGCGCCATTGTCGACGGAGAGAAAGGAGGAGAGAGTGGACGCCGCTTTTGAGATAGAGATTGGCTTCGAAGAAACGATACTTCCGGTGACGGTCTTCATCGCCCCTCCCTGGCGTTTTAGGGTTTAAGGGAAGAAGGAAATATAATGCGTTAGTGATTAACTTTATATATTATATATTAGCGACTAATATCATTTTATAAATCTTTATTTATGACACAAAAAACGTTATATCAATATTTATTTTTACCTATAGCAAATTTGTAAATGTGGCCATAAGTCTTGTCACGCATATATAAAAATTTAATAAAATAATTTTTTTTTCTTATTTCTTACTTGAGAAAAAATAAAAATATATAATAAGTTTAAATACTTATTATTTATATTATTCGTTAGTGACTTTTTTTTTTTTTTTTTCATATCATCAAATTTTTTATGACATGATCAAAATATCGATCCACCTTGATGTTGATGTCATATTTATGAGTGATTTTTTCCTTAGTTCAATAAATCTAAGAAATAATCAAACGTTTAAATGAGTATTTTATCTACAAAATTGTATCTAAATTTATTTAGTAAATTTTTATCTTACTAATTTACTTATTATTAGAAATAATCAAGTGAGTCAACTGCTATTAAACTATGCTCAAGTTGATAATAATTTACATCTCATTGTTTCGGTTTTAATCAATTCTATCATGCTTTATGTGATATAGCCCAAAAGATATTGTAAGATTTTTATACGTTAGTTATATTCTATTTAATTAGAAGTCTATTAATTCATTATCAACTTGAGCATAGTTTAATAGCTGTTGACTCACTTGAAGTCAAAAGGTTGACGGTAGTCGAAAAAAATAAAAATATATTTATTTATTTATTTTTAATTTTACAGGGCATAAAAGTCAACAAATGACAATGAAAAATAACCCAGAGCAACAAAATTATTAAAAAAAGGAGGCATAGGGGATTATTTCACCAACCACCATTACATTACAACATTTCTTATTACATTGGGCAAAAAGATTAAATAAGCACTAAAAAATTTAAAGCTTTGAAGCCAAACAAAATTTCACATGCTAAAGAGATCCAACGGTCCACAATGCTGCAGAACTAGGAAGGTGATTTTGATCAGAACCAACAAGGAAACTTGTGATCATCAGAACACACTGAGGTCAAGAGCTTTTACATCCAAAACTGGAGCTTTATTATTAGCATCTTTTTCGGGTTCGACGGACTGGAAAAGAGACGCTTCGAGCTCGGGAGGATGCTGAAAAATAACCAGATATGTTATGAAATGAAGCTTCTCCATGAACATGATGACAAAATATTCAATATTTTCATCAGTAGAAGGTAAAATAAGCTCTTTTGATATTGTGTTTGTAGTTTACCATGCATCGAACGAGCGCCCAATTAACGCCTCGGAAGAAAGGATGTCGTTTGATTTCATTTGCTCCTTCTCGAGAACCCAATCGGTTTTTGGCGTCTCTATGCAGTAACCTACAGATTAACTGCTTCACACTGAGACTAGCCTGAAACATAAGAAAATAGAAAGAATTAATATATTCCTATAAAAAGGAGAGAAGATCTATGTAACAATCCAAGCCCACCACTAACAGTTATCGTCTGTTATCGTCTCTTATGCATTGTCGTCAGCCTCATAGTTTTAAAAAATGCGTATATTAGAAAGAGGTTTCCACACCCTTATAAGGGGTGCTTCGTTCCCCTCTCCAACTGATGTGGGATCTCACAATCCACTCCCTTAGAGGCCCAGTATCCTCACTGGCACACCGCTCGGTGTCAGGCTCTGATACCATTTGTAACAGCCTAAATCCACCGCTAACAGATATTGTATGCTTTGGCTTGTTAGGTATCGCTATCAACCTCACAGTTTTAAAACGCGTCTATTAGGGAGAGGTTTCCACAACCTTGTAAGGAGTGGTTCATTCCCCTCTTCAACCCATATAGGACCTCACAATCCACCCCTCTTAGGGGCCCAGCTTCCTCGTTGGTACACCGTCCGGTGTCAAGCTCTGATGTCATTTGTAACAGCCTAAATCCACCACTACTAGCAAATATTATCTGTTTTGACCCGTTACGTACTGCCGTCAATCTCCCAGTTTTAAAACGCATCTGTCAAGGAGATGTTTTCACACCCTTATAAGGGATGCTTCGTTCCCCTCTCCAACCGTATGGGACCTCACATTCTATATTAGGAACAGCTAGTAAAGGGTCAGATACTTTGAAAGTCTTTACCGATATACTTCTTGGAAACTTAAGATCCTTGTGAAGAATGTTAGCGAAAGTCTTTTGCCTTGTCTTCCCTCTAAAGGGTGTGTAACCATAGAGCATCTCATATAGAAGGATACCTGAATTATAAGCCATAAGGGAACACAAGTAAAGGGAATTCAAATATAATCCTCAAATACTTTCAATAAGAAAAGAGCATAATGAAAATTACCCAAAGCCCACCAGTCCACTGCACTGGTATGGCCAGCCCCAGTAATAATTTCCTGCAAGAATTCAACACCAAAAACGATATAGAACTCGACGAGTTACACATTCATAACACGTAAAAACGAGAAAAAATCAGAGTTGAAGTTTCGTGAAATGAACAAATGTTATAGTATTTGTGGTTCTGGAGTCAAAGTTTGGCGTTTGCTAATACAAACCGGTGCTATGTACTCTTCGGTTCCGACAAAGGAGTTCGATGCTCGCATAGGTTCGGCCATAAAGACGGGAGCCTGTTGAGCTCTTGATTGTTTTTTCTTCTCATTTGTTGTTGGAAGCAAAAGCTGCAGAATTGCAGAATTCACATCAAGAGAAGTCCTATGACTTGTAAATGAAAACTTTACACTCTTCAAATATAATTGATGTTGAACAATTGGGATACCTGAGGTTTACAAGACGTCAAACATGACAAGTCAAAATCCGTCAAGGCAACGTGTCCATTACCTTGTAGTAGAACATTCTCGGGCTTCAGATCCCGGTAAATTATCCCTGAAACGACACGTAAAATTCAGAGCAAGAAACTTGAAGGGTCACTTTTCACTTTCTCTATCACAAGCGGTAACAACCCACACCCACCACGAGCAGATATTGTCCTCTTTGGGATTTTCCTTTTGGGCTTCCCCTCAAGGTTTTAAAACGCATTTGCGAGGAAGAGGTTTCCACGCTCTTATTAAAAATGTTTCGTTCCCTCTCCAACCGATGTGGGATCTCACAATCCACCCCCTTCGAGGCCCAGCGTCCTCATTGGCACTCGTCCAGTGTTTGGCTTTGATGCCATTTGTAACAACCCAAGCCCACCGCTAGCATATATTGTCCTCTTTGAGCTTTCCTTTCCGTATTCTCCCCAAGGTTTTAAAACGGGTATGTTAGGGAGAGGTTTTCACATTTTTATAAAGAATATTTTGTTCCCCTCTCCAACCGATGTTGGATCTCACACAAACCCGACCTTACCTTGACAATGAAGGTACTCCAATGCGATGACAACTTCAGCAGCATAAAACCTACATTCATTGGTCATTTTACATCAGTGAGACATAATGAGTGTTAGAATGCCATGATTTGGCTTAATGTTACCTCACAGCATCTTCCTTCAAGACCTTTGTGGGTTGTCTGTCCAAAAGCAGAAACAGCTCTCCACCAGGACAGTAATCAGTTATAAGACAAACATGTGTTTTTGTCTGCAAAAGAGCTCAAACTTTAGAATTTAATTTATCAGACCATAAAAACGATCGAGAACATTATAACGAAGAAGCTACCATTGAAAAGACCAAAGGAACGGGGGAAACAACTACCTATACTAAAGCACAAGCTAATACGAGCCAACCAGAAGAAGCAAGGCTTAACCATTTCAGTAAGAAACGCCGATAAACATACATTAATTTTTTTGCATATATCGAACTGCCTAACCTGAAACGAAGCGTATAATGCAGGAAGAAAAGGATGATCCAACATGTCGAGTATTTCCCTCTCGGCGCAAGCTCGATGCACCTGAACGTTTTAAGGCCTCGTTCGTTACCGAAAGCCAAGTGAAACGTAATAGAATTTCTAACATGAACCAATGAAAATGTATTCAAAACCTTGTTACGGTTGAGCATTACACCCTTATCCATTGCCTTCATTGCAAAAAATTGATCAGTTCCACACAGTTCTACCAAATGCACGCTGCAGCCAACAATGTAAACAACGATTGGTGCTTCCTTATTGATACCAGTTGGCTAAAATAATGGCGATCGATTCAGAACACGACCGATAAAAACGGGATAGAAACAACACAAACCTGCCAGTATCGCCAGATCCCAAAGGTTTAACTGGCTTGAAATGTTTCAGTTCTATCTGTTCTCCGCTGTCTAAAATCTGTAACAGAAGAGGACAACATCTGTTAACGATAGCCGAAATTGTGAGCCTCATAAACAGATTACTACCAGTATTTCATGTTTCTTTGTTCCCTTTTATATATTTTTATGTAAAAACATTACCTTCTGGATAGCTTTCCAGGAAGGACTGTCCTTTCTGTGAGGTTTAGGTTGAACCATCTTAGAATGATTTGCCCATAAATCTTCTGGTGTCTGTAGGTTGAAGAAATTTCTTGTGAGAAACAGAAAGAAACTTCAAATTGTTACAAGAAATGCATAAGGATTCATCGTACCAAATTGGCGTCGGGAAGTTCTCGAGCTGCCAAATCAACATTTTCTGCAGTTTCTTTTATCTGGCAGTGGAAAGTGAGCAACGTCACAAAATGGTAAACTCTATTTAGTTCAATGAAATACATGTCATTAAGAGATCCCATATCGATTAGAGAGGGGAACGAAACATTCTTTATAAGGATATGAAAACCTCCCATAACATACATGTTTTAGCTGAAAGGGAAAGTCTAAAAAGGACAATACATGTTAGCTGTGGACTTGGTCTGTTACAAATGATATTAGAGTCAGACACCGTGCGGTGTGCCAGCGAGGACACTGGGCTCCGAAGGGAGGTGGGATTGTGAGATCCCACATCGATTGGAGAGGGAAACGAAGTATTCTTTATAAAAAGTGTGGAAACCTCTCCCTAGCAGACGCATTTTAAAACCTTGAGGAGAAGCCCAGGAGGGAAAGCCCAATGAGGACAATATCTGGCCATGAGCTTAGGCTGTTACAAATGGTATCAGAGCTAGACACCGGGCGGCGTGCCAGCGAGAACGTTGGGCCTCGAAAGGGGGTGGATTGTGAGATCCCACATCGATTTGAGAGAGGAACGAGCGTCAGCAAAGACACTGGATCCCGAAGAGGGGGGATAGTGAGATCCTACATCGACTGGAGAGGGGAATGAGTGTCAATGAGGACGCTAAGCCCCGAAGAGGGGGGATTGTGAGATCCCATATCGACTGGAGAGGAGAACGAGTGCCAGCGAGCACGTTGAGCCTCGAAGAGGGTGGAATGTGAAAATCTCTCCCTAGTAGACATGTTTTAAAAACCTTGAGGGAAAGTCCGAAAGGAAAACCCCAAAGAAGACAATATCTACTAGCGGTGACCTTGGTCTCTTACATTTCATGTGCAAGACTAAATTCCAAATGCAGAGAATCTTAAAGCGTGACGATGTTCATATAGAAACAACCAACCAATTTTTCGCCGTGCTTCGCAGTAGTTTCCGGTATGCAATTGCTTAGTGGTTCGACATGCTGACTACCATCGAGTTGAACTCCAATGAAATACTGAACTTCTCCCTGTTAGCAAAAGCAATCACTTATCTTTTTCGGCTCAAAACCACGGCCATGTTACTCATAAAACAGCCTCTCGAAATTCGACCAATACGAGATACGTATTAAAAGTTAAAAAGTTGGAGAAGTGTACCTTCTGGTCACGCATAGGTTGTAGATGAAACAGGTTCCAAAACTTCTTACCTGAATTGAGATTCATTAAGCAAAAAACAAGTCTTAAAGAACACTCAAACAAGCATCATAGTACTTAACGAAGAACAAGCATACCACTTTTTGTGTAGTTAATAAGCTGCACGGTAACTTCGGTTTGATTGTCGATGGCATCTCTTATTTTCTTGACGGTCGCTCGATCGGTTTCGGGACCTTGCAGAAATCTACAACATATCCAGAATAAGAACAGATATTGTAATGTTCATTCAACTAAAACTTACATAGGAAGTATGAACATGCCTGCAATTTCTTCCCAAGATTTCTTCTCTACTGTACTCGGTTAGCTCCAGGAAGCTATCAGAAGCAAAGATCTGAATATGGATAATAAACACTTAACTTCCTTAATGCTTTCGTTACATAAAACCGACACGGTAAGAGTTGAAGTAAGGATCTTACAATGGGATTGTCGGGCAATCTAGGATCGGTAATGACGAAGTTTTTCTCTATACGTTCGAGGGTGGTAGCTAAATCAATACCCTTCCTCATTTCCCTCTGCCTTACTTTGTCGTCGACACTATCTGGTCTATCGTCGTCATCGGTGTCGTTATCATCATCGGAACCATCTTCAACGTCGATGCTATCAACATTTGATTGACTTTTCCTCATAATCCTTGATCATAGAAAGAGATCATATTAGAAACTTTTCAGTCTAGATTATTCGAACTCACAAACATATAATTTATTAAAAGAGTTCAATTAATTCAATTTGGATCTAACTAGTTCATTTGAATCACTATACCTTCCAATTTTCAAATTTAGTTAATATATTTTTACTCGCTGGACCTACGGAACAAAGGTGATTTTATTCATGCTTCAGACAATTCGGCTACCTGTCCTTGTGAGAATCTCAAATTGTCTCTCTAAACTAGATCGAGTCTTTCCTAGCCTCTTCCTTATTATCCCCTACTTATTTTCGGGTTGGGTTCAAGGTTCAAGGTTCAAACACCCTTCTCCTCTACTCGTTACCTATTAGTTGTTCTTTTCGAATTTGGTTTTGCATTGTTGGGGTCTTTCTTATTTAGGCTGTAACTTAAAAGAAGTGCTTGTCTAAACGTTTTGCATCTATTTCAGCTTGATATGGACCCAGCCCTGAGATTGTCATACCATTAGTAAGCAATATTTAAACTTTTATTTTTTAAAAGAAAAATAGTAAATAAATATAAAAACATATATTATTTTAGGCGAAAAAAAAAAAGGAAAAAAAAGAAACCGTACCCCATAAATGAACGACGGCTAGACTTCTTGGGTTTCTTGTCGGGAACCTCATTGATACGCCGCATCGACCTTCGACTTCCTCGTCCAGTTGAAGCTGCAGCGCTCTCTGACTTTCGCCTAACCATACCAGTTTCAAATCTGTCGCCGTCATTATCACCGCCGCCGCCGCCGCCGGATTTTCTAAATAGCCGACGGTTCATAGATTCACTTAGAGCCCGAGGCCTAGACTCACTTAGAGACCGAGGCCTTTTCACCGCCTGCACAAGCTCCGTTACCGAGCTGGTAGCCATCTCCTTCTGACGTGCTGCAACAAAATTACCCAAATTTGATCACTTTTACACCCAAATTCACATTTTTTATGCATTCATGTAAAAGATCATAAAGAAGTTGAAAGGAAGGGCAATACCGTCATAACGAATCAAGGATTCTGGCAAGCCATTGGGACGGACCATCTTATCTTTGAACCCCTCTGTGTGTTTGCTCACCTCCACTTGCATTCTGCCACATCAGTAAACCCATTAAAAAAAATTAAAGACTAATTAAACTCAAAAGTTCGTGAACTTTCGATCTTGTATCTAATAAGTTATTGAGTTTTAAAGGTGTTTGAAAAAGTTATCGAACTTCCAATGTAGTGTCCCATAAAATTGAACTTTGTGTCTAAGAGAACCTAAAAGTTTAATAACTAATTTTCAAAATATTAGATTCATTGCCGAATCCATGTGGTATAATTGAAAGAAGTTGACCTTCTTACTTCTCTCATGTTACAATCCATTTTTGACCAAGCCCCCTTTCTCCTCTATCCACAGAAACAAAATGGAGGACTAGTGCCAACAGTTCATCACGGAAGAAAAGTGTAACAGCTCAAACCCGTCGCTAGCAGATATTTGTCCGCTTTGGCATGTTACGTATTACTGTCAGTCTCATAGTTTTAAAACACGTCTACTAAGGAGAGGTTGTCACACCCTTATAAGAAATGTTTCGTTCCCCTTTCTAACCAATGTGGGATCTCACAATCCACCCCTCTTGGGGGCCTAGCATCCTCGCTACCACACCGTTTGGTGTCTGGCTCTGATACCATTTGTAATAGTCCAAGCCCACCACTAGTAGATATTATCTGCTTTGGCCCATTACGTATCACTGTCAGCCTCACGATTTTAAAACGCGTCTATTAGGGAGAGGTTTCTATACCCTCATAAAAAATGTTTTGTTCCTCTATCGAACGGACGTGGAATCTCAGACGGTGAAGATTTAATGAAGAGAGAAGAGGGAGAGGCCCACATTCTATCACAATTGAATCAACAGGCAAGAGAACAATACAAATTAAAAGAAAAGTTGGGAAGAAAATTATTAAAGGGGCTTGGGAGAATGCCCACTTCATGTTCATCATGTGATATGTTTTTGTAAGTTGTAGCACAGATCAAACTCATTCATAATAAAAGGTACTTGGATTTTGGGATGCCCCATATGCCAAAATCTTCCCTTCATAACACATACATCCTACACACACACATTGCTTCCTTATTTCATGGCTTTGGAATTGTTTTTTTCCCATAATTGACTTCATTTCTCCCTCCCAAAAGTACACTCTCTCGTGAGTTCATATCCATAACTCTGCCCTACCTATCTATTATCATGCCTATATCACCTCAAAAACTTTTCAAATTATCAATGAATTACCGATGAATTGTAACAGTCTAAGCCCACCGTGAGTAGATATTGTCTACTTTGACCCTTACGTATCGTCGTTAGCCTCACGGTTTTAAAATGCGTCTGCTAGGGAGAGGTTTCCACAACCTTATAAGGAATGTTTTGTTCCCTCTCCAACCAATGTGGGATCTCACAATGGGCGGTGTGCCAGCGAGGATGCTAGCCCCCAACGGAGGATGGATTGTGAGATCCCACATTTGTTGGAGAGGGGAACGAAGCATTCATTATAAGGGTGTGGAAACCTCTCCTTAACAGACACGTTTTAAAACTATGAGATTAACAACGATACGTAATGGGTCAAAGGATCTGCTAGCAATGGACTTAAGTTGTTACATTAGTGAACTTTTATCCCTCTTATTGGACCTGCCTTTGACTTAGACTATGTGCTTAACAAAGTGTTTGTTAAATTACAAATATAACCCTGTTCGTGTATATTTGGATCCACAACTTTCAAAATTATAAACATAGTCTTAACCTTTTTAAAATTCATGAATCTACCCGACACAAACTCCAAAATTCAAGGACTAAACTTGTAATTTAATCCGTGGATATAAACAGGGAGATATAAGGACTAACCCAATAAATTTGAGAACCTTGCCGTCATCATCTTTGATGGGTGAAATTGTAAGAAGATTCCAAAAAGGGGTCCCATCTTTCTTGTAATTCAACAACCTCCCACAGTAACTCGTCCCAGCTTGTAAACCCTCCCGGATCTTGGCCACATCTTCAGGGTCTGTGTCTGCACCCTGTAAAAATCGACTGCAAATCCAAAGATTTATAAGTTCCCAAATAACCCTTTTATAATTTAGTATCAATTTCTTTCTAATTTGCTTAATTATTCTGCAATTTCATAATTATTACTTCAATTTAAAGAATAAATTCAGCAGAAATTTGCATATAAACGTGTTGAAAATGGATACCAGTTTCTTCCGATGACTTCCTTGGAGGTATAGCCGGTCATTTTGAAGAATCCGGCGCTGGCGTACATAATCGGATAATCAGGTTTCGTAGCATCAGAAACCACGAATGTTTGTTGAAAAGTCGACAGAGCGTCTTTCAAATCCTCGGAGACTCTAGGAAACCCCCTTTCTCTTCCCCCTTCTTCCGACATGTCGCCCGAACTTCGCACCGAGTTATTGGAAGCTCTCCTCGAATTCTCTTGTTTGATATTCGGTTCATCGCCGCCGGAAGTTCGAACTCCGACTCCTTGAGGCTTTCCCGTCTCCGTATCGGTTTTCAGTACCAATCCCCACTCGGCAGCGCGTAAAGCTGCGGAGCCGACTTCGTCCGCCGATTGCGGCTTTTCTGACGGCGGTTTGTCGCTGAGAATCGCCGAGATGGTTTTCTGGACGACCGGCGATGAAGGTTGTGGTGGAGCGTTTGAGTCCTTGAAGGCCATCCATGACGTTATCTCGTCGCCGGTTTTACTCGACGGTTTAGCGGCGAGTTTGGCCGAGTCCGGCTCCGCCCAACTGGGGCACGTTGGGTTCGCTCGAGAAATGGAGTTGATCGAATGGGATGAGTACGTGGCCGAGGGATTGAAAACCTCTAGCGATCCTCGCGCGTCCCGAGGAAATGGCGCGAGAGGCGAGGAGTTTGACGCTGGTTTATCCAACGGTTCCATTAGGTCTCTGCATGAACCTCACAATATCAAATTGTGAAATTATATATATAAATCATAATTTTCTTACAAACCTTATCCACTTTAATTCAAAATTTAATTAATTACACGTAAAAATCATTTTATCATCTAAAAATAATTTAAAATTCAAAAAAATTTAATCTTAGATATTATAGCATTTTAAGTGCAGAGTCCATGTGGACTAGTCATGAAACGGTAGGGCATAGACAAGACAACGATATTTTGTTGATTGATGTACGACAAATTATGTAAATTAAAAAGATATTATGATCATTAAGAAAAAACCCGTCTTGTGTAGTGCCAACCCGAACACCTCAATTAATCTATTTCTAGCTCTTGATGAAGGGTATTATTGTAAAATTTATATATTATTTCCAAAGAAACGGGATATGAAATGGTATTACAACGATCTAAAACGAAAAATTTAGTTCATCACGTCGTTTTAAATTCTAATATTTATTTATAATTCATAAATGAGAAAAATAAAAACAAATATTATTTTGTTTCATTATTTAATATGAGGATGGCTTACCTCGGAGAAAGCTGGTTGAAAGTGGAAGGGAGAGATTGGAGGGTCAAAAGAATTGGAAGAAGCGGAGAAGAGCGGCGGTGGGGAGAACGGAGAAAACGGGACTTTTTAAAAGCGCCTTTTGGAATAAAATAAAAATGAAGGATTGAAAGAATGAGTGGAAAAGGTTAAGGCTCTCCCATTCCTCAAAGGACCCCCAAATATGCCACATGCTTCACAAATTTCCATGCACCGTGAATTGTATCTCGGTTTCATGTACTCATTACTCTCGAACTCGAGTTTACGGGAAGTTTTTATTATAATATGAAGATTATAAGAGATCACCGCCTCTTGATATAAAACTGTTCTCAATAAGTCATGGCAGTGACTAGCTTTGAAGCACCATAACTGTAGAGTTCGAATTGTACAAATGAATACAAAAATTGTTGAGACGTAATTCACTGCACTTAATCCTTTTAAACAAACCACAATATCATCATGATATTGCCCCTTTAGAAACTTCTAGCGTCAATCAGTATTGAGTTTGCATTTCACCTTGAGTAACAAAATGATTTTGTCTCGATTCTTGACATTGTCTCTTTTAAGTTCAATAACTCTATAGAGTGTTGGAATTTTACGCGGGTTAATTAAGGAGAATGTCATAGGTATAAGTAAAGGATGTATATTTATTAGTATGAGACATTTTAGGAAAACCGTTAGAATTTAGTTGACAATATCATAATTTGTTGAGGATGCAAATAATAGATGCTACCTCCATTAATACATTTGAGGGAAATCCAAAGCGGAATGGACAAATATATTAAATAAAGATTGTGATAGATTATCTTATTACTCATAATTCTTAATATTTGTGTTGAAGATCACAATTTGCTCGGAATATTAGACAATAAATAAAAATAATATATATATATATATATATATATATATATATATATATTTTAAAGGGAAGAGAGGGGTGGGTGTTGGATTTGTTTTTATATAAATTTATTTGGTGAGATATTATTCAAGGACAAGATGGGAGGGAAATGGATTTGCCAAAAGAAGACGAAAACACAGATGGGTGGCTCAGCCGACCGCTTCATCTCGCCACCATTGGCCCTTCGTATCACCATGTCTCGCTGCTGGCCGTCTCGGATCCTTTTTTTCACGACTCCTTCCATTGGACGGACACGGGACAATCCGACGAATTAAAATTAGTTAGTTTAATCCAACGGTCTCCATTGACATTGCTTTATAACCTTGTAATGAGTGGATATTTTTCTGATATTCTTTTCATTTAGCTGGAGGTGATAGTTATTTGTGTTAAAATTTGCTAAATTTCCTAAAAATATTTAAGAAAAAAATGAAGTACAAATCTATAAGGATTTTTAACTTCAATAAATATTAAAATTTACACAAAATTAAGCATCATTAATGATTGAATTAATGTTTTAAACCCTAATATTTTAGGTGAAGAATTTTCAAATGAAGAATTATTGTAAGATACAATTTAATTATCGTTGTCTTCATTCTCGTCTCGTCTTTTAGAAAAAACTGTCTAAAGAATCAAATGAAAATCAGAATCTTTTATCTCAAAAGGTTAGAGGAAGAGAATAACATCCATAAAAAAATAACAAAAAAGTTGAACAAACACGTAGAATGCACCATCCATGTTGGAGAAAAGAAAAGAAAATTCTTTCATAATTCATTCGTTGTCGCAATAATGAATGCAGAGAAATATGTTATAAAAATATGACTCAATTATTCAATTATTCATTTTACGACATTTGAAATCGAATTACCCCAAAGTAATATTGTCTTCATATAGGAAATCAAGTATTAACCCAATACCAACCTTGGCCACATTTATCCGGTTTATTAACAGTTAATCTTGTAATATTGATATAATTATTCAATTTTATTAAAATGAAAGGGTGAGAAAAAAATATTGAGTAACGGTAAAAAAACCACACACAGTTACCGTTGTCTGAAAAGGAAGTTCAACTTCCAACTTCAACTCTGTGAAGTTCAGAATTTAATGTAAAAATTAAGACATATTACATATAAGGAAAAATCTCAAAAAAATTAGTCTAAATTTAGAAATTTAATAAAGCAATGTCGTGACACAATGAATTCAGTAATTATATAAATAGGAACATAATTAGACTTCAAGAATTTTTTATGAAAATAAAATATTAATTTTTGATCTTATATTTAAATTTTATTTTATTTTTCTTAGAATTAGTTTATTTATATATAAAAAAGTACAAATTTAGTTATCATATTTTAAATAATTTTTTAGTTCAATTCTTTGAAATTAATTTTTATCCAAATTTTTCAGAATAATAACATTAATTCTCATACAATAAAAATTTATAAAAATGAAGAGAAAAAAAAAAAAAAAAAACTAACCGTATAAACTAATTTAAACCATTATTAATAGTCTAAAAACTCCTCTCAATTTCCACTAGAAATCCAACCTCCGGGTCTTTAAATTGGGCAGCGGAAAGACCTAAAATCCTAGTGGTCGCTAATCATGAGTGTGAGGTGTGACAGAGACGAATGAGGGAAGGAAGGATGCTGGTGGGGCCCACAGACACGTGAAATTACCTTTTTAGTTCTTGTTTGTTATTTCATTTAAGCTGAATATCTGGGTCACGGCTCTGAGTGTGAGGCGGGATGGCCGAAATGGGAACTCACATCTCACATCAAACGACCTACTGCCTAAAGTATTGTCCCTTTCCTAATATTAATCCGTCCTATATATATATATATATATATATATATATTTTTTTTTTTTTTTTTTTTTACTCAATTTAAGGCATTAATATGGTCCTCATTCAACTGGCAGTTGTTTTATGTAAAGTTCTCCAGAAAGGCAGAAACAGTGAAAAGGAAGGCCGATGGAATCACGTGCCTCATGTGCAATCGCAAAATAGACTAGACTCTGCCCTCTCCTACGGATCATGGGCATCAAGGTCATGATGATCTGTCCAATGATATTTGGTTTGGGCTGGACCGGCCCATAGGTTATAAAAGGTCTTATAGCTTATAAATATTGATGTACTTAGGAATGGGATGAGAATAAAATTAACCCATCAGTTTCCAATAACATCCGACTCTCCAAAATATTGTCCTACATTTTATTTTGAGCTTTCTCAAAAAAGTATCACACTAAATGGAAATAGAATTCTTGATTGATCATTTTTTAAATGAAAGGAGGCGTGACTTTTATCATCCAACAATATTTTCATTGAATTGCTTCTGATGTCAATGCATCATGTGAGGATAGTTTTGTCAATTGTCACACCCTCTTCTCTATCAACAAAGTTCCTAGCTACTCAATTTTCAGTGAAATTATTATTGAATTTCTAAATGATAAAATTCATTTTTCAATTGATCTTACCCGGTGTCCGTAAATCTCGAGCGCCAACGCTGGTTAGATTCAGAGGACTCGAAGCAATCTGCATTCCGGCATCTCCTAAAATGGCAAGTTCGACATGATCAATGTACTTCGGCGCCTCCGGAAACTCACTTGCATAAACTGCTTTAATTCCTCCATCCTTGATCACCAAATTCACTGCATTCGCAGGGGAAAAAAACGATTTACAAATTACTGGACAGAGGAGGCAAGAAACTGCAAGATGAAATAAAGAAAAGAGAATGGAAGAGAAGAGTAGAACTAGAATTAAATCTATAGTTCAACAAATTCTTGATGAAAATAGGATTGGAAAGTAAAAGAAACTACCTAGGCTAGATCATTCTTTCCGAGAGATGTACCAAATAACATATGCAAGAAACAGAAACAAATTGCGAAGAGAATGAGATTATTCGGTTGAAGAAATTACCGTCAGAAACTGATTCTTGAAACTCTTGAAGAAATTTACCTGGATAAGATGACCACCAGAGAATGAAGAGGACGAGGAGCAGAATCAAAGGAATCAAATGAATCCACCTCTCCGAGAATTTGTATCGCGAATTGTGATCTCGCTTCCGACACGAAGGATCGGAAACTGGAAGAAAGCTGCCGCTGGAATCGTCCATTGATCTTATTTCTGGAGAGCATCTTCCTTGTGGCTCTTGTGCCGGGCTGAAGATTATGCTACAATGATCGTCAGTTGTTGCTCGGAACGAACTCGAAGTCGAAGATCTCTGCTGCATTTATCAACGACGAAGATAGGGTTTGGGGTTCGAGAAGGAAGGAATTTTGGCTGTGCTTCTTCCATTTATATTCTGTTTGCGTTAGGCTTTGCGCCGATTTTCGGCGGGAAATTTCACTATTCGTGCCGTGCACGTGATATGATTTAATTATTACGCCATTGTCCTTTTTTTTTAATTTCTTACCTATAATTCAATTTTTTTATAAACTCATTAATTTAAATTTGTATTTCAGTTTGATAATATTAAAATATTACAAAGAAAAATGATATAACTTTTTTATTATTTAGAATGAATATATGGATATTTCCAAACTTACGTTCATGGTAAAAATAAAATAATAAAAATGGACAGAAAATCAATATAATTTAAAAATATATAAAATTAAAAAGAAAATCATTATCAAACAGTATTTAATATTGTTGCATCTCTCAAACCCTATCCTACCCCCAAAATCAATCCTTGAGTTACATAATTAAAATATATTAAAATTGTGTATTTGATCCCAAACTAACCCCTTTTTTGAGTAAATTTTTGAGAAGCAAGAAAATCTAAAGCGGAGACCACTTCTGAAATCACTGGCCTCTGAGTTGGTTGCTCCTGCACACACATGGCTGCAATGGCAAGAGCTTGATACAATCCTCTTACAGGAAATTGACCATCGAGCCTCGGGTCCACCATTGTTAAGAACCTCTTTCGATCTCGGAATAATGGTTTTGCCTACAACACAAAACAATCAACCCGACCCAACTCAGCTCAAATTTCAAGCTATCGTATCAATAAAATGTCTGAAATTGAAGCCGCTGGTTATAAGAAACCATTTTAAATTGTGAATAGAAATGGTGATTTGAACGGTCCGACAATGACCCATAACGAAAATTTGGATAGTCTCATTGTTCGAGGTCATTGTCACACTATTTCAATCTTTTGAATACGATGAACTCTTATTTTGGTTAAGTATCTTACCCATGTCACCAAACTCAGTTCCTTCGGAGGTCTTGTATAGTCGATGACTTTCCTTCCCGTGATGAGCTCCAAGAGAACAACTCCAAAGCTATAGATATCGCATTTGAATGTCAATTGGCCTGTCATTGCGTAATCAGGAGCACAATATCCATAGGTTCCCATGACTCTAGTAGAAACGTGGGTGTTATCTCCACTTGGACCCACTTTGGCTAACCCAAAATCCGAGAGCTTTGGCCAATACCCTTCTCCCAGCAAAATGTTCGAGCATTTTAGATCTCTATATATAACTGCTGGCCTCATTTTGTTGTGCAAATACTCCAACCCTCTCGCTGCGCCCACGGCTATCTTCATTCTCGTATTCCAATCAAGCACATTTTTGCCAGGTGGAAGATCTGTCAACCAAAATTTAATATTACATATAACAGATCAATTAATAAAAGAGTAAATCAACACATTTTAAAGTAAATATATAAAGTACCGTGTAAATGTTTGTCCAATGAGCCTAATGGCATGAACTCATAAACCAAAAGTCGTTCATCTCGTTCTGCGCAATATCCTAACAATTTTACAAGATTTGGGTGATCGGCCAAACTTAATGTCAATACTTCCACCACGAATTCTCTTACCCCTTGAAGCCCATTCCGGTCGAGTTGTTTTATAGCTACAACCTATATCAAAATTCATATTCAACCGCTCTATCAATTTAGAACTGTATATACGATCGAGTTCGTTTGATAATTATTTAATTTTATATATTATAATCAATTATATTTATTACCTACGTAATTAAAATTTTGTAATTTAAATATGATTATAAAAATTTTACCTGGTCGATTCTTATCAAATGACCCTTGTAAACTTTACCGAAGCCTCCTTCACCCAGAAAGCAATCTGACTTGAAATTTCTCGTTGCTTCTACAAGTTCGTGGAAGGTAAATTTTTCTATCTCTTCGTTCGTTTTTACTTTACCGGAAACCTCTCTGTTTATATTTGACGCCAGCTGGTCATTTTCACGAGTCTGCTCTTTTACTTCTTCCCGTGTTTCTACCTTCAAATCCGCTTCTACTTTGACTATTACCGCGGTAAAAAAAAAAAAACAAAAAAACAATTGAATTCTCTGTCGTTTAAGGAATTATGCTCAAATCTTTACATCAAAGATTAAAACCCTCATTGGTAAAAATCATGTGTTCTTCTTGATAAAGCACGCAAGGATTTAAAAAAAAAAAAAACTAAATCAATCATGAATTTGTCTCATCGAGTGATTTTCTGGGTCCATGTGGGGGGGACAATATCAAAACGACAGCGTATCGATCATAACGAAAGGGATTTTAAATCGAAATACATTAAATAATTTGAAAATTACCTGAAGAAATGGGTGAATTGATCTCGAATTTTTTCCTCTGTTTTTTGCTGTGGCGAAAGCATCCCATTTCCCAGCCAAAAGTGAAGGCAATGGAACAGAGAGAGAGAGAGAGAGAGAGAGAGAGAGTAGCTGTCGACCTGGGCGTCAAATCTGAGAAGTTTATTATAATTAATTAATATATTTTTTTTTTTTTTCTAAAGAGAATAAATAATTATTGTGGAATTTATATAATTTTGATTTTCTTATGCAGAAAGTTTCTCGGTACGGTTACACCCAATGCTTCCGTGACGCGTGAAAACGATAATATTGTATGGCAGCATACGTGGATGTTTGTTTCTCTGCCACGTCAGCATTAAAAATTTTAAATGTTGGTTTCCACATATGATGGAAGTACACGTCAGGATTTGTTTGTAATATGAAAAATAATTTCTATGGGCTTACGTGGCGTGGGTTGTATAGCCCAACTATTTTATGGCTGGTTGTGCTGGTTTGCGATGCGACAGATCCTTCTCCTTTTCTGTTGGTAAACGCTTCTTGTTACGACGCGTTTGACGCCGAACACGCGGTCTTTAGCGCGTGTATCTCAGACGCTTGCGGATCACTAGAAGCCCACATAGAAACAGTTGGACAGAAAAAGACAAATCGGCACCATGTAGATTTTCATAGCCATTGGTTTAGTAAATCAATTTATCTCTATTTTTTTTTCTAAAGAATAATGGTTTAAAAAATAAAAAAAATAAATCTTAACAATTCTTTTATGTTGTAATTTAAATTATAAGTTTGATTATTTTTTTAAAAAAAATTTAAAGAAAAAATCGTCACAAAATTGTTATATATAATTCATATTAACAACAATATTAAAAATTTACGATATTTAATAAATATAAAATTAATTATTTTTTATATATTAAACTTTCCTAAATTTTATAATAACTGTAGTTTTGTAATTTAACAAAAATAGAAATATTAATAAGAAAATCACCTTTAATATATTTATATTTGCTTTAATGTATTGGTATCAATTAGTTGCTCAAACTTTGAGCAATGATAAAATTAATATTCTTAACTAATTTTTGTTTAAAGAAATATTCTTAAATAATATAGTTTTTAATTCTTTTAATAAAAAATATATAGGTGATGTCATATATCAATTATATCAAAATAATATATAAGAAATATACCTTAACAATAATATAAAAAAATGGTATAATTGATTTTTTCTAAAAAAATATTTATAATAATTTAATGCATGGAAGAAAACTTTTATAGTTATATTTAGAGCGAGAATTAATTTATTTCTAATTTTTAAAATTTGAAAATTAAAATTGTGATAATTGATTTTTTTCGAAAAAAAAATAAATAAAACTGAATTTTTGTATAGGAAACCGCCAAGACGTTGGCCATGGGCCTGTTTAGCGCGGGCCACTGGCTGGACCGCGAGATTCAGATTCAAAAGGTTCAAATGAAGGTCCACTAAGGATACGATCACGTGGTCTCTTTTCAAACAGATTAAGCACTTCCCGCTCGCATATCCTTTCAAATCAAAATCGAAGATCCAAACGCAGCCGTAAGAAACTTCCTTCCTCAATCTCATTCACCGTCATTTCTTCTTTCAACTTTCGTTCGGTCATACTGATTCACGTCGCCGGTGTTATGGAGTCCAATATTTCTCTCATTGAAGTTGCCGGAGAAGACGATTCTCTATTGCAACAGATTCCAGAAGACGATCTTTTAGACCTCGAACGGGAGATGGACGGCGCTACAGCGAGAAACAGCGGCTTCTTCTTGTGTTCGCCTCTCTTAACTAACAGATCCAATGGCACCATTTCTAGTTCTTCTACTGCTTCAGCAGCTGGTCAGTTTAATTATATACATTTCCTTTGTTTTGAACCATTTGCCTAAGGTGCTGCAAGTTTATCTGAGTTTCAGATTTCGTTTGTAGGCGTTGGTACTTCTTGTTAAATTTGAGTTACTAACTAGTATTTTTAGAAATTGGCTCCGAAGTTGATTGATTATGCATATTTAGATTGATGTTGAAAACTGGAATCTGTCGGTGAAGTTTTGTTGCTGATTCTATCGAGATTCTTACTCTCTCTGATTAGATAAACCTGCATTTTAGGCGGTTGCTATCTCTCTTTTTTAGAATCTAGTTAAATAGGTTACCAGTATTGTTCAGTAGCTTGCTCTTAACATTCTTGGATACGCGCAAGATCATGTTGATTAAACGACATGCTCCTTTTTTATGTGCAGATCATACCGATAAAGAAAATATTAATGCAAACGATATAGAAGGTCCCAATCTTAGTATTATGCCGCAACAAATGAAGAGGAAGAAGAAGGCTGGAGGATATAATTTGCGGAAAAGCTTAGCATGGAACAAAGCTTTCTTCACCGAAGAAGGTTTCTACATGTGGTTACTTAATGCATTGTTTATTTCTCATTTTTTCTCTCCAAAACAAACGGTAAGACATTGTTTGTATTTTACACACTCTTTCATCAGGAGTCTTGGATTCCATGGAGCTATCAATGATCACTGGTAGTACTAATACATTAGGAGCAGTCGACGAAGAAATACCAGCGGTGCCTAGTGGTGGCTCTTATAATGATTTATCGTTTCAAGATAAATTATTCAAGAATACGTCAACTAGTACTCCTATTGGTGACAGAAAGAACGGCCGTTGCTTGTTGCCAAAGCGTGGTTCATCAACTAAAGATAATGTATCCCAGCTTCTGCAGTCAGTATATTTCCAAGTTTAATTGGAAATTTCATCTTTGTTGTTCTACTACTATGGATATGTTTCCACATAGATTTGAACATAGAAAGTTCAAAATATTATAATTATCTTTATTTCTAGGCGGATTTATCTCAAACTTGTCTTTTTGTTTTTGAATGACATCTCAGGTCAAGTTGAAGGAGCTATCAGCCAAAGATCTCAATCGGAGTGGATCAAAACGTGGAAGCTGTCCGCGACCTGTGGCCTCGTCGTCATATCCTTTAAGTATTTTCTTAACATTTGTTTGAATTTTGTAGTGTTATCAAGTTTTCTCCAGCTGGTCCATCCTAAACTCACTTTTACTAATGGATTAGTTAGGTTTCCTTAACCATTTCTATACTGTCAAAAGGCCTACAACCTCAAATGCAACAAAAACTATGAACAAAGAAGAGAGAACTTCCAGAATTCCAGTTCCAAAACGTGATTCTACGGTCATCCCTAGGGCTCCAAGGAATGCTGCTACTATACGTGCAAGTGACGCAAAGAGTAATCAGGTTGCTCAAAGAGGCCATCAGGTTGCTCAAAGAGGTAATCGTCGTAAAATCGCACAATGGTTCTGTTTTCCTTTATCCATAACTTTAAGCTATCTTAATCGATACTATTACATTTAAAATTTACTCTATTTCGATGCTGTTAATTACTTTGTGATGTGTTGAATTTTTCGTGAACAGTTGTAAGTAATCCAAAAATGACTACGCCAAATGGCTCGTCCATGAATGCAATAAGGGCTTTAAACAAGGATGTTAATGCAAGCAAATCTCTGAAGGCTAAAAACTCAATTCAACAACCGGGAAAATTGGTGAGAATTAAAACGTTTAGAAGTGGGGGGGTCTTTGTCATCCATGTATTTAAGTTGGTATGCTCATACATTGTAGTGTTCATTTATAATTTACAGGCCAATCCAGTATTAAAAGTGAATTCCTCTCGTTGCCAACATGAGTCTGTCGATCCAAATGAGGGGTTAAAGGCGAGGGAAAATTCATTGATTTCAAAACCTCTTCCTTCAAATGATGATGGCACCAAGAAAGTTTCTGCTTCCATTACTCAAAATGCTCCCCACAATGGTCGTAGCATGCTTAATCCAACCCAAATGCCAAAGCCATCTGGTTTACGAATGCCATCACCGTCCATGGGATTTTTCGGGCAGGTATAATCACCAGGCTTCATTAACATATTTTAGATGAATGTTTTTTTCTTCAAATTTTTGTTTTTCTTATTTTCTGTTCATTTGTGAACTTTCTATCTCAGAAAAAGGTTTCTTCATTCCAAAGCGTGCCCCCTGATACTTCAGAATTGCACGACCTTTCCAAATCGAACATTCCCAATGTGAGAATACGTGGCCCTTCAAACCCTATTTGTCAGTTGGCAACACTTGTACCTAGGAACGTTGTGAAAGCAAACCATGGTGAGGCTTCTGGAGAAACTAAGGTAGTTTCGTGCTTAAGTTCGGGTAGTTCAATAGAACCTCTTTCCCATGATAGAGCGAAGTCCGCCTTGAAAGTAGCCAACATTCATTTAGGGAAAGTGGATGTGATCGGCGCTTCTACAATGAAAAAGGCTTTGAGCGCCCATGGACTCGTGAAGCCTGATGTTCTGTCGCTTTCTAATCCTGTGTTGGAAAATCTTGGAGATGTTTCTAGAAAACATCATGAGATTAAGGACCAACTAGCTGGTGACTCTACCAAATCATATCTTGATGAAACGAACGAAAGCTGCTCACAAGGTATGCAAAATGCTCTTGATGATCAGTTAAGGGGTGCAAAAGATTGCAATGAACAATCTTCCGAGCAAGTTGAGGTTGCAAACTCTTTTAACTGCAAGATTGAACGAACTTCTTCTGATCACCAGAGAGTAGGAATTGGAACTTGCAATTCACTCAAGAGAAGTAGAACTTCAATAGAATTTGACCATGGTACATTTGAAGATGTTAGTAACGATTCTAACGGTTGGGAGAGCTGTTCATTTGATCTGGATGAAGATTTGGAAACTCGTAAAATGAGAATATTACGGACAAGAAAAGCAGAACCATCTGACGTCGACCACTTCATTTCTAATGAATGCAACAACACTATGCAGACCGCTACAGAACTGTCTAATTCAGACTCGATGCATATTGATGATGAAAATCCAACTGGTCCAATTTTGAATAATAAATCATTACAAGGAAACGGCTGTTCTCTAGCCTCCCAGAACGAGGTTTTGACAAAAGAAAGCAATGACATCTGTGAAAATAAAGTGGATAGTGATTACGAACTTTCTTCTATTCCACATTCAACAGCAGATGCTTGCAACAAATATACAGATGAGATTGTCGACATTGTATCTGATATGCAGCAGAATCACACTTCCTTGGAAACAGAAAGGTAT